GGCTTCAATATATCTCAAGGTATCATCAAATCGCACTCATCCGACGTCGCTTCCATGCAACCAATAGAGAAACGGGTAGTAAGTCGTCGGCCTTCAAACAAACGGACAGCGTTGAGACACAGGATGATCATAGCACAAGGTGCGACACACACACCCTCACTGTTTCTTATGACCATACCACGACTTATGGCTGGAATTCGCTGTGATCCATCTGATAGCTTGCTGTCCATTGTAACAGTCAGCACATGCTGTTGTTGAAGTTGCGTTGTTGAACACTGTCGAGAAAGGAGAGGGTAAAATAAGTACTGCAAATGTAATGTTAAAACGGGTTACTTATGATTAAGAGGTTCTTAGTTAAATACTGGGAGGTTTCCTTTTGACATACTCGTCATCATTAGCATAAAATAGCTTGACTGCCTGTCAGCAGTACAGAAGACCGATTGGAGGGGAGAGAAGACAACAAAATCCTGTATTCTGATTTTGTGGAAAAATTCAGACGTGGTAGCGAATCTTATAGCTTCACAGGCAGTCTTTATAAAAATCGAACCCATCGTTGCACTTTTTTGCCCAGATGTGGGTAGAAGCGCCTTTGAATTTTGTGAGAAACTTCTTGTTCGGATGCGTTTACAAGCATATTTATTTGTTCAGAGTTTCGATCAAGATCGACGGCATTTTCATGGACGGGTAACCCCTCAGTTACGCATTGATGTTGAGTAAATAAGTATCGCTCATGCTCAACCTCCTCGTCGTATGCATATGCATTCAGATCACTCATTGAAACTACAGTATGGGAAAGTTCCTCGCTTTACCTCCATTCTGTGTGAGGAAGAATGAACTACCGAGTTTGCGATGGGATATTGAGGAAAATTTAAAAACACTGCTGCAACGACACGATGTCAATAAGTGTTCTACACTGGCCATTCTAAGAAACATAAAAATATAAGAATTAGATTATATGCCTCTTACGCAACCGTTACATTGTTGTTAAACCGTGACTAAGAGCGACTGTAATTTTTCACTACAGGCACATAGACAACTGTTCCATGTGCCAAATAAACCAACTAAGCCAGATTCATTGATAGATCATTCAAAAATAACTGAATCTTCGCTCGTACACGAAATTCGCTTATTTTGGCCATGAATGAGGGAAGATTCAATTACGGAAATGTACTTAAAAGCAGGAAAGCATTGTGTTGTAGTTTCTGCGCATCTGCTTTGACGGCTTAAACCTTAGTCAATATGCTTTGCCATAGTATTCTTCTTGCGATGGCATGTCTGAGTCATACTGTGTCACGCTTCGCAAATGTGGATATGGCCACTCAGAGCAACGTACAGTGGAATGTGTTCATTGGGGCGTTTATGAGCAGGATCGAGCAGTGAGGTAGTAATAGTCAGTTGCTGACAGATCTCCTCATGTTCATAAGACAAATGTGGTTTAACCAGCGATACTTGGTTCGAGAAATGCCGGACTGAAGAATCGAGAGATCCATTTGGCACTTGTCGTAACTGCACCAGGAAGAGCCGATAAGTACTTGTTGAGATGCTTCACAATAAAGAAATATAAGCCGCAAATGTTTCGAATAAGATCACAAATAATGGTGCTCTGTAGGCAGTGGTAGGGTTATGATGAAGATGGTCTGAACTTTGGATCAGTTCGAGTGTAGTAAAAGAAACGAGAAATTATGTACTTTCTTTCAGTGGTGTTCATTATTCAACATGCCATAGGAAGAACCTCATCTGCAGTTTGAAGATGCGATGGAAATCGAAGCAAGCCATTTTTAGCGAGATGATCTAATCGCATTCTATATAATTTTTAATTTGAGTAGCTGACATACGCATTCATTTGCTGGACGTGTCAACTCCTAGATGAACAAACGTATACATTTTCCAGCCAGAACTTCAATCGTTTGCTAGCTATCCTGCCGAAACTCTTTGAACTTAAGGCGTTCCTTGCCATCCCTCGTCTCAGCAACTCGGATGCCATTCTCTTACAAAAGCCTTGACTGTTATTACACGGAGGACGAGTGCATCATAGAGCTTAAAGCCTTCATTTCTTGTCGCCTTGATCATACGGGGAAAGACAAGTAACAACGAGTCAGCATAACACCGATAGAATTGTAATAATAATGTATGACATAATCCTTTGGTAAGTCACAAACGGGAAGAGCACGCATAAAATGTTCTTTAATGTACTCTGAAGACGGACCGAGTTTGGTCCGAAACGTCAGATGTCTCTAATTAAAGAACATTTTA